GGTTCTGGAACCTCTTCACAACACAAAATCATTCCTAGAGTTTTTCGCCAATAGCGCTAATTCATGAGCCACCTGATTGGTCTTTCTTGGGGCGTGCCGAATTTTACAATTTCCCATACGAGCCATGAGAAAACTACAGTCCTCAGCTACATTCAGCACAGGGGAGAACAGGGGATGAAGACTAATGGCTTGGACCGAAAGCAGGGAATCTGTTTCAACAATATGTACCCATAGCCCCGATTCTGCTGCGAATTCCAGCCCCTCTCTAATGGCCAAAATTTCAGCTGTGAGTGGAGAGTAATTTCCTTTAACCACTTTGCCCAGCGATCCCATTACCTCCCCACGATGATTGTGAATTACAGCCCCAATGGCAATCTCCATTTCCTCGATGTTTACAGTTGCATCAGTATTGAGGATCAATTCATCATTAGGTGGTGCTTTCCAAAATCTTCTATGAGATATTCCAGGCTGATTTGTAGAGACCCGACACGGTATCTTAAGAGAAAGCTATGTGGATTGAAAGTCTGCCAAAAATTCTTCCATTTTTACACATTGATGTTGCACTGGAGGGATGCTTCTACCGTGATGCAAAACATTCCGGTCACTCCAAATCTGCCATACCGTCATACACAGTTTCTCAAATTCGTTAATTTCTAGCTTATGATATGCAAACAGTGTAAAATCCGAAAATTCAAACCCTTTGAAATCAGAGATCAATTTTCCCAGGCCAACTTGGTTCTACACGACATAGGCTCGGTCACATCGAATTAAAGCATGAACAGTAGTTTCATAATCCAGATGACATAAATCATATACTGGGGAAATAGGTACATGGCGACGTGTTAAGTTGGATAAGGTGGGGATAATATCGTTGAAAGCTCGGTACATGAACGCTCTGACTTTTGGAGGGATATTCAAGGCCCATAAAAATTTCCACCATTTAGCATTAGAGTTGTAGCTACTACTTGCCTCCAATCCAAGGGTCTTAATTGTATATGCCAGCCAGTAACCCAATTTGACACGATATTCGCCATCTTCGGAGTGTCTCCAAATCAAACGGTCAGGGGTTGGGAATTTTCCAAGGGGGATGCTTCGGATAGCCTCCCTGTCTACCGGGTTGAAACATTCTTCTAATAGACTTGGGTTCTACGCTCTATCAGTTATAAAGTCAAAGACCGTATGGATCTGTGGCACTGCTTGGGACATAGACTTGAAGGATATTGCCTTAGGGATCTACGGGTCATGGAACACAGAGATTGACCTTCCATTGCCTACTCTCCAGATAATTCCCTTCAAAAGAAGTTCGCAACCCCACATAAAACTTGTCCATAGGAATGACCCGTGTCTTCGAACATGATCTGATAATAGGTGGTCATAATAGTAGTATTTACATTTAATGACGTGGCTCAACAATGAGTTCGGGTTCTGAAGAATACGCCAGACTTGTTTTGCCAAAAGAGCTTGGTTAAAACTTTCCATGTCTCTGAAGCTCATCCCACCATCCGCTTTATTTTTGCATACATGAGACAATTTATGCCAATGTAGTCTTCGTTTCGTATCTGAACCACCCCACCAAAATGACGCCATCAATTTCTGGACCCTACCCTTGCTAGAACTCTAAATATACCCATAACATAGGTTGGGATAGCCTGGATCACCGCTTTAAGGAATACTTCCCTTCCGTTGTAGGAGAACTGGTTATGCTTCCAAGCTTGCACTTTCTTCCACACTTTATCTTTTAGGAACTGGAAGATTTCAGTTTTTCGTCTTCCAATAGGTGATGGTAACCCCAGGTACTTGTCATGTGATCTAGCTGTGTCCAGTCGAAAAAGCTCAAGAGTACTACGCTTTTAAATTTCGGGAACATTTGGGCTGAAGGTGATATCTGACTTCAACAGATTAATTTTTTGTCCCGAGGCCTTTTCATATGAATGTAGCAAGTTCAGAACGTGCTGATTATCATGAATGTTGGCTCTACAACAAACCAAAGAGTCATCAGCAAAAAATAAGTAGCTAATTCGGGGACCATACATTGAGAATGCGACACCTTTAATATCACCCATAAGAGCTGCTTTGGAGATTAAGCAGGATAGCCCTTTAGCACAAAGCACGAATAGATAGGGAGACAGAGGGCACCCCTGTCTCAATCCCCTGATTGGGCGCACAAATCCCCTGGGTTCTCCATTAATCAAGAAGGAGAAAGTAGCAGACGAAACACATCTCATGATCAGCCCCGCCCATTCTTCATTAAAGCCCATTTTATGCATTACGGCGGAGAGAAAACCCCACTCGACACGATCATAAGATTTTGACATATCCAATTTCATCACCATCATTCCATTACGCCCCTTAGTTTTGTGAGAGATGGAATGCATAGTTTCGAAACCAACGATCACATTATCAGTTATGAGTCTACCTGGAACAAAAGCACACTGATTTTTAGAACTCACATCTCCTAAAATGATCTTCAAGCGATTCGCAATGGTTTTTGTAATGACTTTATATATCACATTACATAGGCTAATGGGCCTGAACTCTAGTATATTGGTCAGATTTCGAATTTTCGGAATAAGAACTACGTTCGTATGATTCAGCTTTTCTACCGATTCTCCACCATTCAACACCGCCAGACAGACCTTCACCACATCCTTACCCACCACCTCCCATGACTTCTGATAGAATATTACGTGAAACCCATCAGGCCCTGGTGCCTTGTAAGAACCCGTCAAAAATAGTGCATCACGCACCTCTTTGACAGTAAAGGGGTCCCTAAATACTCTATTCATATGATCAGATACTGGTGGGTTCACTGCCTAGGTAACAGTCTCGATATCTTCGGGGGATGGTTGGGAAGATTGGAACAAAGTGTTAAAATAGTTCGTCACCAAATCTCCAATGCCCTCACAATCAGTTCTCTAGGTGCTATTCACATCAAATAACCCAAGCATGGTGTTATTAACCTTCTGAGCTGATGCTTTATTGTGGAAGAATTAGAATTGCGATCTCTGATAAGTGTGTTTTTGCACACTTATTTAATACTTAAATATACTTATTATTGATAAAAATGAGCGAATTTCTACTCACAATTATGTAATTATTGCATTTGTAGGTAAAAAATCACCAAAATGAAAG